AAGAAACAAAATTCAAGAAAAAATAGCAACTAACTCCTAAGATTAAGGAATAAACTAAATTCAAATAAAACTAGACTCAATAAGCAGTCCTAAGCATGTATTCCAACACTCCTCCTTGCTTTAGGATCTGTGAACACCAAGTTTCTGCCTTAGAAACTCAAACTTACTGATTGGAAGTGATTTTGTAAGCAAATCTGCCAACTGATATTCAGATTTGCAGAAAATCAGAGTAACAAATTCTTCTTTCTGCACTTCTCTTAGAAAAAATAACTTGATGTTGAAATGCTTAGTGTTCCCATGAAACACAGGGTTATGAAAAATGACAATGATACGAATATCGACACCATTGGTAGCCAATTGCATGTTGTCACCAGAAACCTGAATGAGTTTTGAATCACTTAAGCAAGCTTTATCGACATCGTCTTCAAAGTCCACATGTTTCGTCATTGGCACCGTTTTGATGAAGCCTGAGCTTGACTCGGGTTTCTCTTCCAGCACTTGTTTTGTGGAGCTTTGTTGCCATTGAACTTGAGATTGAAAAGCAGTCACAAATGTTTACAGATCCTCTTTTTCTTCTGCAGCGAACAATGCTTTTTCAGCGACATCTTTTAATCGAGCTTCCACATCTGCCTGTGAAACCCTGGTTTTTTCTTCAACTCGAACTACAACCACTTCTAATAAAACAACATGTTCTCTAGTTTTTGCGAGCTTAGAACGCCAAAAATGTGCCTCTTGAAGAGCAGAGCCTCTCTACTTGAACTGGATCTCTCTGTCTCTGCTAAATGCTGCAAGCTTTTCTTCTGATTCTTTTAACTTAAGAATAGCTTCTTGAAGTTTTTTATTTGAATCATTCGTCAGTCATTCAATTTCTGTGTAAGCAAGCCTTCTCTCTTCATCCATAGCAAGAGCTGCAGATGCAGCTACTTCAGCAGCCTGAGCTGTCTCAGTTAACTTGTCTGCTAACTCACGCATGGTTGAATGGTTGAATCTCTTGCACGTAATTGGTTGAATCTCTTGCACGTAATTCTTTGGCCAATCTTTAACGTTCTTCATCTTTAACTCGAAGTGTTTCCTTCATTATCGTAAGCTCATCTAAATGGCCTTTATTAACCTCATTAATCAATGAAACTTCTAGTTAGTGGGCAAGTTTTACAGAACTATTATTGAGAAAAGAGCCAAAAACCTCCTGCTCCTCTTGCATTGGATTGAGTATTGAATTGAATGAAAAACTCCTCCCTGCCATCTTAACTTCAAACATCCTTTGGTCTGTAGCATCCTCTATCACACAAGTCTTCTCCATAAACATCACTTTGAATCCCTTTTTTTATTAATTGACCAATATTGAGCAAGTTTTGATCAATATCTGGTATATAGAGAATATCGGTGATCAACTTGGTTCCTGAACAGCTTGCAATGGCTACGGTACCCTTTCCTTTGACTGCAATATATTCAATATTTCTCAATTCTGACCTTTTTGGACTCGGTGCTCTTCAATTCCTTGAACAACTCCTTGTCATGTGTCATAAGATTAGTGCAACTACTATCAATGAGCCAGTTTTCACTTGTTTAAGAACTCGTGAAACAAGTTGCAACAAAAAGCTGGTCATCTTCTTCTTGATCTGCCACCTGTGCTTTATCTCCTTGTTGTTGATCTATTCTTGCAAATGACAGCTTAATGTCCCAATTGATTGCACTTGCTCACTTTGCATCTGGTCTTTTCTAGCATTTGAAAAGAGGATGCTCTTTCTTGCCACAATGTCGACATGAAGGGTAATCTTTCTTTTGTCCACTTGTAGCTTGAAACTTCTTGTTCTTGGGCCTCCTATTATTTTCATCATCTTGATGCTTGACTGGAAGAGCTCCTTCGACGGCTCCTTCCCTCATTACACGCCTCTGCTCTTGTGCTTGTAAAGCACTTAAGAGTTCTGTCAAAGGAATCTTTGACAGATCCTTCATATTTTCTAAGGTAGTGATGGTAGCCTCAAATCTTTCAGGCACTGTTACAAGGATTTTCTGAACAATCCTTGAATCTTCCAAAGAAGAACCCAATAATTTGACACGATTTGCTATGTTGAGTAGTCTGTCAGAGTACTTCTTTATGGTTTCTGTCTCCTTCATCTCTTGCAATTCAAAGTCACGAACCAAATTTCGCACCTGCATCCCTCAAATTCTTTCATCTCCTTCATACTCGGAATTGAGATAATCGCAAATCCCCTTTGGCGTTTTCAACGACATGATACGAGTGAAGATCGTGGAGGAAACTCCAGCAAACAGGCAGGCTTTGGCCTTGGACTTCTTTGACTTTTTCTCCTTTTTTGCTTTAATTTATGCTACGGTGGGATTTTCAGGAAGAAGAGTAATGTCATAGTCTTCTTCCACTGCTTCCCAGATATCCAAAGCATCCAGGTACGTCTCCATGCGGACTGCCCAATGGTAGTTGTCTCCATCCAATTCTGGTGGAGCAACTGAGGAAAAACTAGCTTCGATCTCCATTGCCGCTCAAAGTCATGCACAGGTCCCGTAAGAAGAGAGCTCTGATACCAAATTGTTAGTTTCTTGAAATGAGAAAGAGGAGAAAAACTAAAATTTCTTGTTGTAGATTGGAGGGAAATCAGAACCACACATTTTGTGTAGCCTTACAATATTTTAAACTTGGAGTTAATAACAAACTTCCAAGAAAATACCTAAAAATTGTAATAAGAAACAAAATTCAAGAAAAAATAGCAACCGACTCCTAAGATTAAGCAACAAACTAAATTCAAATAAACCTAGACTCAATAAGCAGTCCTAAGCATGTATTCCAACAGATTTACAATGTTCTTCAGGATGTGAGCAATAGAGAACATGTTTTGCATACAACAATAACAACAAACCTTTACAACAAGTCATTATCACACTAAGGGGGGTCAGCTACATGAATCCTTTTTCTTCATTGTATCCTATTTAGTCTCATAATTTCATTTAATCCTAATAAATTAAGATAATTTTTTATACAATATGCCCAAGTCATCCTAGGTCTACCTCTGTCTTTCTTAACATAAGTCGAATCTAAAACATCTATTCTTCTAATTGGATCATCAGATTGTCGATATTTAATGTGAACAAACCATCTAAGACAACTCTCTATAATTTTGTCTGTCACTGGAGCTACACCAACCCTATCACGGATATATTCATTTCGCATTTTGTCTCTAAGCGTAAAGACACTCATCCACCTAATCATTCTCATCTCAGCAACAATTAACTTAGTTTTATTCTTCTCTTTTAAAGGCCAACATTCAGCGCTATGTTAAAACTTATTGCAAGGATTTTGATTATGTAGTATCTTGAACCAACATAAGAGACTTTCTTACTTGTGAAATGCATAATGAAGATATTATTGGTAACTTTAATGGAAATAAAGCCACTGACTCGAGATAATAAGTATGATGGCCTTCACTAAATGGAGAACCCACATTTATTGTGTCCAAGTTACACTTTCCAATTAAAGAAAGCTAAGAAACAAGACATGGGGTGGTTCAGGCCCTTAAAAGTGGTCAAAACAATAACTAGGAAAGTTATCAAAAGGATTTTTATTTAATTGGGTCACCCTACACTTTTAGTACATTCATCAACAAACCAATAATCAATGTAAGATAGTCAACAGTATTGCAAACCTCCATTGAGATATTTCTAGAGACCATTTAGACAATTGAAAATTAATCTTCTCCATAGTAATATCATATTGCAATAATTTTAATAATAGTTACACAAAAAAGTACACATTTGAAGTTGGCCATGGAACATCCTTCATAACATATTGATCTCATGCCATCCCCAAAAAATGCTCATTTTTCAAATTTAGTAAGTATTTTACTTACATGTATATGATATTCATGGAAACATCAAACAAAAAAAAATTAATACAAAAGAAGACATTCATAATGTTCTTAAAGAAGCTCATTGTTGATTCATATAGTTCAGGATGATCGTGTTTTGATTTCTATGCAACTAAATGTTTTCCACCAAAGTCCATTTTGGACCTCAACTTCTAATAAGAAATTACGACTAAATGTGGATGCATTGGAATCATCACCTCGCTTAAATATTAGCATAGATATTGATGTTAAGGGGTTTTACTAGCCAATTGCACCTTCAAATTAAAGTTTATTTACTGTGTTTCATCTAGTACTAAAAGTAAAAAATATCCTCTAACTAAAATTAGAAATGGAGTCATTTTTCCTTTTTGGCATGTCTGCTGGCTAAGTGAAAAAACAGAAATGAAACAAGAAAAAGCAATAAAAGCTTCACTTCAATGGTCTTGGTTATTCCTTCAATGACTAATTCAATACCAATTTCACCATAACAAACAGAATATCCTTGGGCTTCGCACAAATGATACATGACGAAATATTTCTCCAAATGCAGTTTAGTTTCGTTTGTGCAACACAAAATATGATGATGTTGGAGACAACCTAAATCATGAAATTATCATTGGTAGGAAAAGACATCATCAATCCTATCTTATCAATGTAGGAATTGCTGTATCAAAGTAGGAATTGCTGTAGTTCTCATGCCATGCAAGTTACATTGCATTGATCCTAATATTTTCGAGAAATAACACTAAATATCTCTGAAAAAAAAAGAGAATCCTTATTCAATGAATTTTCATTCAGAAGACCCAATATTCAAAATAATCATCACAAACATCAAAAATTATAAAGCCTTTTTCTAGAAGTATAATGCAAGAAAAGAAAAAAAAAGAAAAATCTTTACTTGATTACAGTATAGGATCCGCCAAGATTATATATTTTTCTTGTCTAGATTCCTTCTTCTATGATGGAATCCAAATATTTTTTTTTCTTATAAAGAATGGGGAAAAACATTCATGCAAGTGATATTTTATTAAATGAATTAATATTTATGAAAGTAAAATGTGGATCTTGATCTGCTCTTACTCCCAAATTTCTATGTTTTCCCAACTAGATAAATCAAAAAAATTCAAGTTCCTATCATAGCTATTACTTTCGCATGGAGTAGACCACGCCAAAACTAAAATCCATGACAGAAACGGAATGCTGATGTAAAGGAAATATCATGGGTTGGCAAAATAAAGCATGTTATCTTTCAGCATATGAAGGTATTAAAGTGAATATTCATAAAAACAATTATTTTCTGACAGAAATCTACCTTATTTTGGATAACACCTTTCAGTATTGTTGTAATTCTAGCCAATGACTCACACTTCTTCTCCATTTCGCTCACATGAGTAAGATGTGCCACATTCTTATCATCCTGGTCAGTTCCACGCAAATATTTCAAGAAGAAAAAAAAATTGCTAGTAATATAATCAAGCTGTTATAGAATTACCATAATAAGAAAAACAGAAGTCAAATAAACAATATTATATCACCTTCCTTCCTTGAAGTTCGACTTGCAAATTTGCAATATTTCTCTGAACAACAGTAAGCTCTCTTAAAACCCTAATCAAGTCATCACTTTTGTCACTAGAGGAGCTTGAAGAAGACTTTAGCTCTTCCTGTCAAACGTATGATGAATATGCTTAAACTGCTAATAGCGTTTCAACAATAGAGGAACTTTTAAAAAGGCATGTGCTGTCTGAAAAATACAGATAAGCAGATGTAATAGTATGATAAGCATATCACATATGTGCATGCGTGCATTAGAGAACAACTGGAGAAATGAAGTATGTTCTGATTTCCACTCATCAACAGTTATTCAGACACAATCACCTAAAAAGCATAATATTTTAAATCTAGAAGCAGAAAATTAAAAAGCATTCTCATAATTTTCTTTACTCAATTTCTTTAAAAAAAAAAACAGTTTGATAAGTAACACAATCAGAAACATGCATAACTGATTAGTAATCAGAAGTATAATTAAATAATAATCAACAGGGAGCAGAATAGCTCCACCGGTTTGCGGACTATTCTAGCTTCAATATTTCCACCAAGTTCCACCGCAAGTTTCCCATTAAATATTTAGGAGAATTAGGTTCAAATCACGATTGCACGTTCGAAAATATCTTCTTTTTTTATCACGAATACAACACAGTATAAGGTACAAAAAGCTGCCTTGCTATGTAGTTCCATCATCCAAAATTTCAATTGATATGAAATGAATTATATAGAAGAAGAGGAGGAGGAAACCGTCAAGAAATAGATCCATGAGAAAGCAAACTCAAACCTCAACAGGAGGGATAGAGAACCCTAGATCAGTTGCGATGGAGAGGGCTTCAGCCATTCCTCGGCAACAGAGAAAGGATTGATGGAATACCGCCAGCACCGGAGCTTCAGGGAATACAAAGAAGATAAACCTTAGCTAGCGTCGAAAGCACCTCAGCCATTGCCGACCGGGAGAGCAGAATGGCCACTGATCGCCGATATGTGCTCCTTTGGCCTAGGAAAGTCAATCCAGTAAAAGAGAGCAGATCAAGCACTGCCTTGGCCTTCAAACGGCCGGCTTTGAGCGGCTGATTGACTGCAAGTAGGATTATTTCAAGTAGGACTGGAAATAAGGATTTAACAATTTCTGTGGTGGCTAATTCCTGAAGTAAATCTTGAAGTAAATCTTGAAAAAAAATTTTGGCAGCTTTAATAGGATTTAGCAAGATTTACTGCAAAAACACGATTGAAACAAAAGCCATGATTTAATAATAATAAGGCATAAGAAAATAAAATATCCAACAAATATTATAGATATAAAATCCAACAACAATCTTCCAAAAAAAAAAAGAATTGAAGTGCCTACAAAACTTCAACAAAGCCAAGTTCAAAAAGATTGGTGCCTACTGACACAATTATATGATGAGAAAATACAAGTTATAGTGTCACAATTACATAAATAGATGTATAAAACTAATTATTAAAATGTAGCAAATCCACAACAATGAGGACAACCGTGATGGTAGTAAACAGAATAGTTGACTACCACAACTCCATACAATAAAGGATATGATCATCCTTATGGAGCAAATCAATGTCTTCGTCTCATTTCATGTGAAAAATAAAAAATAAAATTGAGCATTAGTAAATAGTTTACTTATAGGAAAAATAAATACATTTTACTTAATATTGAGTCTTACATGTGCTTTGCAAAAAGTTGTTAGCAATTGCATCTTACAACTTCCCCTTTAAGTTTTTCACCAACTATTGCATGAAAAATAGGATTTTCATCATTGTTTTCCACCTCACAGTATTGAGTGGCATGTTTCATCTCAATTTGTGACATATTAAAATAAAAATAATGCTCATGGTGGCCACCAATAAAATTGTCCAATATTGCACATGCAATCACATTATGAGTTTAAATTGATATAGGAAATTGATGGATGTGTTAACACTGGAAACATTTATTTCCAAATTCCAAACTAAAACATAAATCTAAACTACAACATAATAAATAAAAGATACATGAAAGGACTCTACGGATAATACATGAAAGAACTCTACGACAAGAAAAACAACTATAACATAACTCCAAAATAAAATAAGAAATAAAAGATAATACTTCAAATAACATTGTAAGGAATTAATTTAAACTGCTACAACCAGGCTGGACATGCATAATAATGTTGGTGACAACTGAGCATATACTTAATCCACGAACGTAAAATTCTCCATCCCAAGTGATTAATATTACTTTATTTTTTGGGTTTTATATCAATTCCTCTTGCACAACAATATAGCTTATGTTGATATTTCTCTAAACTTCTAAGCTTTCCCAAACATTCATACATCATGTACGGGCAATGACGATCTAATGCCTCCTTTGTTTTTGAACCATTTGCACCTAGCTTCTTTAGTAAATTTCTCATCAGAGACTTGTCAAGGCATTTTTTACTTTTCGTTACATGCTCACCATTTTTTCCCCAGAAAGTTTATCTCCACTGTTATGTGACAATATTTGTTCCATTTTTTGGTTCAACACTGATCTCCATGCCTAGAAATGTCTCATTTGATTCTGCATTGATCATAAAAGTTAGAACTTGCATAGATAAAAATTCATCAACAACTTCTACTATAATTTCCCTTGAACCACAAAATATTTAACAGTGGGCTTGCACGGACCTCGAGCACTGGTACCAATTGCAATGTTTTTTGCACAAATCTTCTCAAATATGTTATATCTGGGAAAAGGATGGGGACGAAATTTAGCCATTTTTGGATTTTCCTGTAATGAAAGTTGTAATTAATTTTAATAAACATATTGTACTTTTTTGGGATAATATTCGACATAGAAATACTCACACGAATAATTTTCACATGAATAATTTTAAGTTCATCCTCATGTTACTCATCAAGTAGGTTCATAACCCTACTCAATGAAAATAAGGTCAGATAAAGGAAGTAACATAATTGAGATAGATTTGTCCAATGTCCAAATCAGCATGCCTCTAGTAATACTCAAGTCTGATTGAGAGTTAAGTCGTAGTGGACTCGTCAATACAACAACTACAAACGAGCATACACAAGTCTGGCCATGACGAGAAGTTAAGGAATCACCTCCCTCATGATACACTAAAAACAAAACAATCCACTCTCCCACCTAAACATCCACAATCAATAACAATTGTCAGCATGTTGGGAGATTGAAGTTGTCAGTCGCTGGAATGAGTATCCCAACACCCGATTTAATTTAATTTATATACATATAATTTGGGAAAAGTAGTGTTTTAAATTTTGAAAATACAAGACTGAACTGATCTCATATCCTCAGTAGTTTAAATAAATAAGTCTTTCACCTCAAGCAATGCATCCATCCCGAAGAATGAATGTGCTACTTACTGGTGAATGCTCGATTAAATAAACTAAAGATTGTATGACATATGTTTAAGTCTGTGAAACCATTTTTATGTTGACCTACAAATTCTCCTATTTAATATGAAGAATTAAATATGGTTTATATCAAGCTGGGTTCTTGAAAGTTTTCTATAAAGGCAAGCCGTTATAGTTAGTTACAACTGAGATAACTGAAGTCACCTAAGAAAACTCTCGATAAAAATCAGAGGATATTGTCTTCAAGAATTTCAAAGGATAGGACTTTTCAAAGAGATCGAACAAAGAGGTGTGAAAGGGGAATGACTCAAATTTGGGACATTTTATTTTTGGAAAGCAAAGGAAGGAGAACTAGGGGATGTAACAGATCCTGAAAAGAACCTCGGTGACTTCCCAAAACTACCCTATGATTTGACATCAATTTCAAGAAGAATTTATGTGTGTTATCCTGCCAATTTTTTTAATTAGGGCTTACATCCGTGTAAAAGGATCACACAAATAGCCTGGAAGATGTGAGGATTTAGGTCGTGACAAATGACAACCTCGGTATTCTAAAGCAAGTTAGAGCTTATATTGTATAGTAGTCATCTCTTCCTTTCTTTTCTCCATCTGACTGGTCTATTTATCTCTTAACAAAACAACCTTGTGCAGGTGATACACCAAAATAAAATGTTGCTTTAAGTATACAATTTTTGCTAATTTATGGTGATATTTCACTTTAAAGAAGGGTATTTTCATGTTTTTGTTGCAAGTATATCAATTTTAGGCATTTGGAGCAAAAGTAGCAAAAAAGACAAAATTTAGAGCCAAAACAACAAATTTTGGGATTCTGGCGCCTGAAGCGCCATTTGAGAGAGAGTTGGCGCCTGAAGCACCATATTTGTCGTCTGAAGTGCCAAAACCCAGAACAACACGGTCTTAAGCAAGTTAACACCTGAAGAGCTAGAACCAGTGTCTGAAGCTCCAGAGATGATTTTTTACGAATTAAGGCGGTTCGTGATGAATTTTGCACGAATTTTGAAAGGGACACTTGTTCTAAATGCCCCAGGGAGTGATATGTCTTTTGGATCAATCGACATGTCTTTTGAATATAAAGGGTTGACTTTTGGACAGAATTTTGAAGGGAATTTTGGATTCGTAGCCTCTAATAAAAGAAAGGAAAGTCTAGGGCTTTAGGGAGAGTTTTAAAAAAATATTTTGGACGGGGCGTGGAGAGAAGAAGAAGGCAAGAGAGGGAGAGAGAAAGTCAAGGGCTTGGAGACTTTTTTCAAGGATTGTAAGAGGAGAGGGAGAGTGAGAGATTTCTTCTTCATTACACTTCTAAGAGAGAATTGAGAGTGCTTGTAAAGAGGGAAAGTGCTTGAAGAGAATTTCTAGGGATTTGTTTAGGAAGGATTGTGAGATAAGTTGTGTTTTTTTTGTTGTAAACGTTGTGTTATTTTATTTCTTTATTTTGTAAACTTATTTTTATATATGAAATCCATATTTTTTCGTATCATTCTCATGAACTCTGAGTAGTATTCTTTATCGTTCTCCCTACTTTAAGATATGGTTTTATGAAGAATTGATTTTATTTTATACAATTATAAATGTTAATAATTTGTGATGATTTGAACTCGGATCTTCATTTACTTTTCGATATGACCAATTGAATTGGTAAAATGTGTTGAGAAACATATGTTCCAAAAGGGCTATTATTTCTACAATATAGCGAGATTCACATTTGATTCCATGGGAGAGGATGTCATCCATGGGGTTTAGTGCAAATACATAGGGAATTATACTTTATTGGATACACAATTAGAGATTCTAAGGTGACAGATAAAAATCTCCAAT